CAAACGTCAGTACCGGTTGCCTACCGGTCAAAATTTTTATAAGAATGATCGGTCAACCGGTCGGTCCGGTCCGGTCTGCATATGTTCACCGGTAACCGGTGACCGGCCGGTACTGGTTATGATTTTGTTGACCGGTTGCATCTCTGCACGAAATGCCTTTCTGTTGTTGTCTTAGAATACCTTTTGGTCAAAATCAGTTTTTGCTATCGTGTGAGGATGAGAAAGTGCAAAAACGGTTTTTCTCGTGCTTTCTCACGTGGTGTGTTAAATGCAATCGAAATTAAAGTTTCAAAGTTCTTCGTTTACTCTAGGTTTAAGTTTTAAACGTTGTGAAATTTCGAGTGAAATGAGGATATCTCTGAGGATGTATTGAGCTAACGGCCATTAGCAAAACGCCCTTCCGTTCATGGGTTCTTAGACGTTGATGAGTCATACATCAGCTTTTTTTCGGCAAATAGATTTCTTAAAATGTATCTGTCAAAGACTTGTAATCGACACCTAAGCTTACAAAGAATTCAGTTTATAACGGTACAGTTTGTCTTTTAGTAAAAGTCAGCTTAGAGACCTATAAGTCTGATGCATGAGCTTTTGCTGATAAAGTCCCAATTTCCTACTTATCTCAGTAATTGTCAATTTCTTTATATATTGAAAAGAACACAAGAATGGTGATGAGTATTGCTAATTATCATTTAAAAAAGGATATTTTTTGTAATGCTAATACAAACGAGAATAACGTTTTGAAATATAATTTAGTAGAAACATAACAACTATTTAGACATACAAAGAGGTTTAACTTCGGAGTTACATATGCTTAAAAGTTTGTAAACGTAGTATGGTAAAGTGAGCTAAGACAGATCAGTTATAAATACATGGTGCTCTGTTTTATAACACTTTGACTAATATTTTACTCACATATACGTCAAGGTCGCTAACTGAAAATTTCGAGTCATTGCAAAAACTTGCTTTTATAAACGATAATTAGCGATATTCACAGCAATAAATCGCAAAACCTAAAAGGGATCTCTCAAAAAAAGCACATCAATATCAATACATTTATATAAAAATTGTTTGAAAGTGAAATGTTGTTTAACAGCGGAATACAGGAATAATCGCCGAATAGAGGAGCACAGGAATAGTGAAACAGCGACCGACCGATAGGAATATATTTTGAAACGCTCGCTTATCAATTGAATGAAAAGTAGTGCTCCATTTAAAAAACTTTAGATAAAAAGTGTAAGGCGAATACGTATAAAATGTGCAAAAGCAAGTGTATTTGAGGTATATTTCTTGTAGTAAATGTAAATAAAAACGTTCTCTTCTTCGTTTGCTGCATTCTCTTATTTATATGCTACAATACTTGTTATTTTATGAATAACGAATGAATTGAAAGTATATATGTGAACCCAAACATCAAAAAATAAGTATCGCCCGATTCATCTAGATTATTAGACTTTACCTGATTGAATTGTGTGCATATATATTTTGCATTCAGTATAGTACAACTGAGGAGAGAAGTACCCCAACTGATAAATCGCTTTTTGAACGAAACCTAGTGGACTATAGGATGTCGACGATGCTAATTCCGAATATCACCATGACTGCTGCTGCCAGGCCTTCAAAGACTGGTTTTCTGAAAAACTAGTTTTCGAGAAACTTAAAGAACAATCAAAAGCTTTCTTAATGAGGCGCATCGTCGACCACCTCACTAGGTTCGCAGCCGTAAGAACTTTTACACTTCTGACTTCGTTAAACACACGCTCGACAGTTACCGTTACTTGTAACTGGTCGTTATCGTTACTTGTAACGGTAACTAACCGTTACCAAGAATGGTAACCGATCAACAGTTATAGTCACTGTAATGGTAATGGTAATTGCCACAACCCTATACATGACTATTTGTCATTTAGATTGACAGTTGGAAAAGGGACTTTTAAGTAGATGCGTCTCATGTGCACCTAGCAATAGTTAAATCGATCGATTATCGGGCGATAAATAGATAATTGCATTGAGGAGAAATCTAGCAATCGCCCGATTACTCGATTTCCACTGTCGTTATTAAATAATTGCAATCGAATAAAAATATAGTAATCAAGATGAATCGGGCGATGTTAGATTTTTTTTATGCTTGAATTAGTTCTGAAATTATTATTTTAGGTTTTCGCGGAGGCATTATGTTAATTGCAACAGAACAGGAAATTGATCATATTATAAGTTAAAAATAGAACTGAAAATTTGATTAATAATATATAGTTGATGTGAAAGACTCTTATGAAAATTGATTATGACGGAATATATATAAAGCTCGTGAAAAATATCAACGTGAAATAAAATATGGAACGATTATTTATAGAACTAATTTACACCAAACTTTAGAAATGTAGAGCTTTAAATCTTGATATAAACAGTTTGTTTTTGTTCGTACTTTGATCGGAGTGTCATCATGGTGAACAAAGTTTAATCTCAAAACAGAGAAAAAGAAAAAAAATGAGAAAGTCAAAATACTTTAGTTGGTATTTTTTTGTAATATTACCCTTTATGTAGGAGCTATTATTTGTGGTACATGATAAAACATGAGGCAGATATGTAATTTTATACTCGTATATTCTGAATTAAAGCCAACGTTCTCTTTTATGGTAAATTATAATCTATTAATTATTTTTTTATTAATCTTTTGTTCTTTATTATCAATAACAGCTAATAATAATGATACAAATACTGTTATTAATGCTGAATATGAGAGTCGTTTATTAAAATTACAAAATACTAAATGTATTCAACCGTATGTTATATTACATCTATATTCTGGTAGAACAAATCCACAATGGCGTATTAATTTAAATCAATTGCGAACAATTAAATCATTTATTAATCAAACATATCATATGTTAAAAGCAAATAAAAAAATAACAGAAAGAGTTCTTGGTTATCAGGGTTTCTCTGTTCGTTGTCAGAAAACGGCAAAAGCATCAGTAAATATTAATGATGATGATAATGATGATATATTAATTACTGGTTTATCTAAAGTTGAATACTATTTATTATCAACTGGTCGTAGATATATGAAACAATCAACACTTGAACACGTTCAAAAACATATAGGCGAATTTACAGTTATACAACAATCGAAAATTAATACTAATAATAAAAATTTACAATCAAATTCAATATGTAATCGTACACCGATTGTGGGACCGGATACTGTTCCTCACTATAATCCATATCTTGATAATTATGGTTGTTTTACTAAAATGGTTACACGTAATAACTGTTATGCGTATGGTAAGAAAAAACATATTTGTGCGATTTGCGCTGCCATTGTACCATTTTCGTGAAAAAATAAATTTAAATAGCGTGGCTCAGTTGGCTAGTGAGCAGACAATGTAATTCAAACATACGGAGTTCGGATCCGGCAACGGCGGTCGCGCGATAGTCTTGAACAAGCTATTTAATGCTCATTGTCTCAGTGCCTTTGGGTACTGGTGCAATGGGATAACCCGATTTTAGTGGCCATTGGACTGGAGAGATAAGAGTTAAAGTTTAGAAAAATAATAAATAAACAATCTTCTGAATTTTTTTTTGACTATATCAGTGAAGTCTGATAACCCGAGCGATGATAGATAAAAAAGCTAACTTTTCTGACTGCTACTTATATTTTTCTCAGAAAACGTGTTTTCGCTACGAAAAGCATTCCCACACCGATTACGATCAAGAAAACATAAAATGACCGTGAAAATTGTGTTTTTGTATATCAACCGATAAATCTCGATGAGATCTCTCTTATGATGTGCGATTCAATGTGGTTTATTGCCAGCGAAAGCTTCATTTATGCAAACTTCAGAGAAAATGTATCATTCAAGATTGTACAGGTTCCAAAAACCAACTACTACGTGACAGAGCAATCAGACGTACGTGCCTAAATTTACACCGCCGAGCTTTATCAAAGGATTTAAAGTTAAATTTAGTGTACTTTTCGTGGGAACATGACGAGTTTAACCGAACGAGACATTGTGTATTGAAAAAATATTGCGGGACATTTTTCTAGTAAAATTCATTTTTTCTCAAGAACGACAAAATGTTTTGATTTGCCACTTTGAGTATATGGTGTACACCGCAAATGGAAAAAAGGATAAATGAAAAGTTGAGTATTAACGGAGATATTAGGAAAACAAAATTGAAAATCTCACAGGACATAGTGTATGAAGATTATTTCAGAAAAAGTAATTGTTACTTGTTACAGTAAGAAGAGCATTGGTCTTTTATGTTTTTTTACCAAAATGATTCTCAATCTGTCGGCTATCTTTTAGCTACTTTTACTAAAGATTACGTTTGAATTTTAGCTCAGATATGCGAGGACAGAAAAAGACCAAAGTGTCTGTAATAACATTATTTTGATTTATTTGCATAATAAATTGAATGAAATCATTAATTTATTTATATATTTCGAGCATGTCAGTCTTCAGCTACAAACTATTCCAAAGAAAAAGAATTAGAACTCATTCGTCTTTAGAAAAAAATTCATTTTTCATGGATAGAGAGCACCAAAAACCTTGGCGCACGACAATGCAACTGTTACACGACAAACAAAGAGCGGCAGTCCTTAGTAGTAGCATGCAAACATTAGGCAAATAAAATAGAAAAGGATGCAAAATGATCTATCTATTCTGTAGAAAAAAAGGTTATTGCATTATTACTTCCCGGTTATTAACAGTACAATAACAGAGCAAATCGATATAGACTTAGTATGATGAGATATTTCTTTTATTTCTAGCGGTAGATATTGTTACAAATACATTTCCTCAACCAGGTATCAATATATTAATTTTTGAACGATGTAGAAATATAGAATTGTTTTATTGATTATTTAAGGTCGAGGTAGTGGTAAACAATGGAAAAATTTTACATGTGCTAATGTCGGTAAAACTTCAGAAAATGATGGTTTATTAAATAATATTGGTAAAATAAATGAGGGCGGACATTATGTAGCACTACTTATATGGCCTAATAATGATTTTCACTGGGTTAGAAAGGTTTGTATATACCTATGTTCTGAAACCTTTATATATTATATATTTCTTTTTAAGGATTCAAATGATTATTGGTCACATAAACCGGGATGTGAGTTTAGTTCACTTTTCTTCTTTTTCTTTTTTAATAATGTTAATTTTTCTTTTTCATTTTCTTTTTGCTATAGCAACACCAATTCGTAATCGTGATAGCAGAGGTAATCCTATACGTAATCCATCGAATGCTAATTTTTATCCATATACAATATTTTGTTCATATTATATAGCACGACCATCGAAACTTAAAATTAAATAAAACTAAAATCCTCAAATTATAGTTATTAACAACAGTTTCTATTAAATTAAAAATGAAATTAATATATTATATTAATTTGATTTATATAATAATCTTATAGACATTTAATAGAATGTTGTTTGTCATAGGATATTTTATATCGAGGCAAAGTAGTATCTTTTTCAATAATACCAAACTGGAATATCATTGTATGCTCGATTATGAATGTAGAGAGCTAGTTTCATGAATTAGAAAGTTTTAGCATCTATGTAATGTTTACATACATGTGTTATCAGTTGAGTTATCTCTCAGGCAAAAAAATATTTCTGACGAGATAATCCATTGGCTTTCGCTTGAATATCACCCGATGTTTCAGCCGAAAATAACAAACTTAACTCGTTCTCTAGGGTATTGGGTTTAAATCGTGTTGCTAGTTGCAATGCTTCGCTAACCCTCATATTCTCATCTTTGTGATGTTCGATTGATTCTCAGGTAAGAATTGAATGTATGGATTTAAAGGAGGGGGCCGCATAAGGTCGGGAATCGGCCCACTCTCTTTTTGGACTAAAAATGGATCCATATGTAGTAAAAAAAGTGCCTCTATTCCGTTTTCGATAAAATCAGATACTTTTGTCACGTAAAACCCGGTTAATTCCTGAACAATAGCACCTCAATAAGCACCGTTAAAAAGCCACCATATGATC